GGCGGGGGGCGCGGGGGGGACCGGCGCCGCTGCCGGGCCGGTCTGAGCCCCGCCTGTGCCCGCAGAGCTCGCGGCACTCCAAGCTGGAGAAGGCTGACATCCTGGAGATGACCGTCAAGCACCTGCGGAGCCTCCAGCGAGCCCAGATGACCGGTGAGTGCCGGGGGGGAAGAGGGGCTGGGGGGGCATCGCACTCCCTGCATGCATCCTCGGTAGGGAGGATGAGGGGGGCACCCAGCTCCACGCCTGCATCCCCGGTACTGGGGGGCAGTGAGGGGCACCGTGCTCTGTACCTGTATCCCCAGCACAGGGGGGCACTGTGCTCTCCATCTGCATCCCTGGTACTGGAGGGCACTGGGAGGGCTGCGGTCCTGGCTTGGGTCCCCTCTGCTAGCAGAGCTGCGCTCCCCATCTGCCTCTCTTTTGGGGGGGTGGGAAGCACGAGAGCTGCCAGGGGGACTGTGCTCCCGACCTGGATCCCCAGTGCTTTAGGGCACAGGAGGACTCTTGGGGGTTGTCTGTTCCCCACCTGGGTTCCTGGTGCCAGAGGGGCCGTGCTCTCCGTCCAGATCCTTGGCACCCAGGAGCACAAGACATGCTACCGGAGGGGCCGCACTCCCTGCCTGGATTCCCAGCTCGGAGGGGTTGCAGGACCCAACACCAGTAGGCTGCACGTTCCCATCCCCTGCGGAGCCGGCTGACCGCTGTGCACCTCTCTCCCCCTGCAGCCGCACTGAGCACAGACCCCACGGTGCTGGGCAAGTACCGTGCCGGCTTCAGCGAGTGCATGAACGAGGTGACGCGGTTCCTCTCCACCTGCGAGGGCGTCAACACTGAGGTGCGCACCCGGCTCCTGGGCCACCTGGCCAGCTGCATGACCCAGATCAACGCCATGAACTACCCTGCGCCCCCCCCCCCGCCCCCGCTGCCACCAGCCGCAGCCTTTGGGCCACCCCTGGTGCCGCCGGGCAGTGGCACAGGGCCGCTCCCAGGCATGCCCTGCAAGCCGGGCGCGGACGCAGCCAAGGTGTACGGTGGCTTCCAGCTGCTGCCAGCTTCCGATGGGCAGTTCGCCTTCCTCATCCCCAGCACCGCCTTTGCTCCCGGCGGTGCTGTGCTGCCCCTGTACGGCGGCCCACCCACAGCTGCCACTGCCGCCTCGCCGCCTGGCCCGCCACCCGGCACCGCCGACTCGGTCTGGAGACCCTGGTGAGGGTGGCGGGCACCGGACTGGACTGAGCACAGCACCCCGTGCTGCTGGCACGGCTGTATATAGGTTATATGTTCATATTGGATTGTGCCTTTGTACCATAGCACTCCCTCGACAGTGTTTCGTGTTTTACACGAGATCTTTTTTCTCCCTTCCCTCCCCTTCCTTATGTGACACCAAAGATTCGGGGTTTTGGGTTTTTTTGGGTTTTTTTTTTTGAATGCTCTTAAAATAAAAGTGTCTCTTCCATTTTGGAAGGCCTTTGGAGATAAGTTGGAGTGCTAGCATGTGTGCATAGGAGGGAGCCCAGCTCCTGGCTTGCCCCTGACTGCCTGTGGATCGTGCTGCTCCAGGGCTGCCTTGTCCTGCTTTCCAGGCTGGAGCTGTCACTCAGACCCTTTGTCCTCTCTCTTCTTGTGAAATCACCTGGCCCCTCTCCCTGCCCCGGGGCAGATATAATTACTGCTTCCTTGGGAGCAGCTTGACTGATCAGACTTGTTAAAAAGAGCTTATGTTTGCAGAGCTGGTGGACGTGTTGAGGGAGGCACCTCTGTTCTGTTCCTGGCTCCTCAGGCTGATGGAGTGGAGTAGCCCAGGTAAAGTGAGACAGATTCAGCACAGAGCCTGACAGCCTGGCTCCCAGTCTAGGCTGCCCGGGTGAGCCTCCTGCCCTGGACCTGGAGGGGCCCGCTCCCAGGCCGTGGTGTAAATTGCAAATGACTTCAGTCAGTTGATTTAGAGAGCGGTGCCTGCCAGCTTCTCGTGTTACAAAAACAGCATCTCTCTGCAGGACAAGCCTGACACGAGTGCTCCTGTCTCCTGGCTGACAGACAGCAGCAGGCACTGGGCACCACCTCCACCTGGACTTAAAAGCACAGAACTGTTCCTGGCCCTGAGCACCAGCCAGGCTCTGCTTGATGATTAATGCTCTGCATGTGTTTTTGATAGAGTTGGGCATTTCCTTTGCTATTATATGGAAAACATGTGTCCGGGGGAGTGATGCGGGGCTGTGCGGACTATCTCTGTAGCTGAGCGGCAGCTGACCCCTTTGACTTGGGGATGCCCCATTTCCAGGCAAGATGCAAGCCTTAGGTAGAGGTGAGCAGCAGCCTCAGGTTACAGCTTGCGTCGCCCTTCTTAACAAGTCCTAACTCAGAGCGGACAGCTTTAAAATGTGCCAGGATCCACTGGGGATTCCTTCCAAATCCTGCTGCAAAAGCTTGTTGGATTTTGTCCGGATCAGCCAGGTGCTTGACTATCCAGGTGGGGAAATGAAAGCTGGGGAGAGTGCAAGACCAGACAGATTAAACCTGCTGGGGTTTGAATCCTTCCCCAGCTTTCGCCCCCTTCTCCCTGTATACAAATACATCCTCCTGATCTGAAAGTAGTTCTTGGGATGGATTTTGGAGGGGGGGGGAGTGTCCAGGATCTCTCTCTGCAGGGTGTACTGATGAGGTTGGGGCCAGTGGCAGCTCCCTTTTAAAAGGGGCTGCAGGGGCTGATCTCCCTGGGTGATGCGAAAGAGCTTCCCCTTCTGTGTCTCCCAATGCCTTGCTGGCCTGCCTGCATTGCCACCCTCATGGTGGGATCTTGCAGCCAGGTTTTGTGTGCCAGGCTTGGGAATATTGGATTTGCTGTCCCTAGGCAGGTATGCGGCTGTATGGGCTGAGCCTGCCTTCCCTTACACTAGCCATACTGTCACCTTGCTGTATTGGAGGTACCAAGGGCAGGACTGAGCCCACCTTCTGTTCAGAGAAGCGCTTGCAGGACCTGTTTGTCTGGCAATCTCATCAGACCAACTCCTGCTGCTGGATGGCCTGCATGGAGCTGATGCAGACTAGTAACACATCACCTGTAAGAGCTGAGGCTGTTCCAGCTTAGCAGAGTCTTCCTTTTCTGCTGAAGCAGTTGGTTTGGAAAGTGCATTAGAAAAAAAAGGCTCTGCTGTAGGCTAATGGAGAACACATAGCAGATCCAGGAGTGAAAGACAAGACGAACCTATTTGTTAATGGAGTTTAAATAGCCTAGTATAAAGCAGATATGCCATGCTTGGACTGGTTTTTCCAAAGCTTTCTGTGTTTACTCTGTCCCACAGCCTGTTGACATGAGAGATCTGCTTGAGTTTGTGAGCTTTGAGGGGATCAGAGCAATTCCCAGGAGCCGTGCTCTTGATGCCAATTCACTGAGCCTGTGACAAATTGGGATGACAAATGCAGGCTCTAGGTCCATGGATCATGTGCAGGAGTTGCTCTTCAGGTGCCGCGAGTGCCTTCAAACTGGTGCCGTGGGGTGTGCAGGCAAGGGTAAGGGAGGGATGGGGAGTGCCAGGGAGGGGACAGGGCTGGGCTGCTGGATGGGGGCCTCTTGTTTGGCTGTGACCCTGCACAGGGCTGTGCAGGACAGGTAGGAAAAGGGACTGGACTCAGTGCTGCCGGATGGGATGCAGCTCCTGTTGGCTTCCCTGGACACCCTGGTGAGCCCTGCCTGCCAGCCGAGAGGGCCCCGGGGGGGGCTGCAGCCGGGTCTGTCCCTCTCAGATTATTGCTCTTGGGCTTGTAAGCAGTCTGCCACAATGCGGTGCATGCGTTTGCAGCCCAGAGAGCACCAACCTGGAGGGAGCGGTGCTCCATCCCTGCCTGCAGTGCACCTGCACGGGGGTCTGCGGGCAGGGGGCTTTGCCTGCCTCCCCCAGCACCCGGCTGTGCCCCACCACCACCACAGGGATTGCATCCTCGGCTGCCCCTCGCATCCCTGCAGCTCCCTTCCATCAGCCGCCGCTGCCGTCCCGGGAAACCTGTCATTAAAGTCAATTAACTTTTCCCACACTCCTCGCGAGCGGCGCAAAAACCCCTCCTCGCTTCCTCCTTGGCTCTTAAGTGCTACCATATGGCATGGGCCCCCGCGCCCCCCCGCCCTGCGCCCGCCCTGCCTTTGATTCCAGCCAGACAGCCGGAGCTTTATGATTTAAGCCGGGAGAGCCCTCGTACCAAGCCCTGGGCCGCTCTGCGGCCAAGGTGGTTTTTTTAGCAGGCAAGGCTGTTTTCTGGCAGGAAATGAATAGCTCCCAGATGAGCTCAGGAACCTGAGAGGTCGTGAGAAAGGAGCGAACCCCCGGCGCGGTGGCGGGCTGCCAGGCGGCGTGGGGAGCGCGGGAGGGAGCGCGCCGCCGCTGCCGCCGGCACACGAGCCC